ACTGAAGGTGATGGGGATTTCAGACCACGAGCGATAGCTGGGGTTGGCGATAGTTTCCTCTGAAGCGACGGCAAGCACTCGTCGGGCGGCGAGTTTCCGTTCCCTTCTGCTCTCGTTAGAGGCGAAACCCCCGAAGATGGTGGCGACCACCTTGTCATGGTCCTGGAAGGCATTATTATTATCCCCAGGTGGTCGGCGTCCTCCATTCCCACCATTGTCGTCGTTGTACTTTTTCTCCTGGAACTCCTTAGCCAAACCGAGGCAGTCTTTCATCTTGTGTTTGGCGTTCTTGTGCAGGGGGCACGGTCCGTCGAGGATCTTCTTGTACTGCTCGTCGTAATTACGCTTTGCACGCGGCTCATTGATGTTGGCAACAAAGTGATCTGGTCGGCGGCGGTAGTTCTGACCAGGTTTGAATCCATCCGGCCGATCTCATCCGCTGTCTCGATGGAAACTACGGTCGTCGTAGCGGCGATCGTCGTGGCGGCGAACGTTGTGCTGTCGATCGTCGTTGTGGTCGTCGTGGCGACGAGGCGGGCGATTAGTGCCCGTATCTTCATTAAAACGTACCTCCGCTTCCTCGGCGTCGGCGTACTGGTTGGCGGTTGTGATCATCTCACCGATGCCGGTAGGTGGCTTTCTGTTGAACTTAGAGCGGAGTTCACGGTGATGAAGTCCTCGGACAAAAGCGGTGATGACTTCGGCTTCCGTGATGTTGGGAATAGAATTCCTCATCTCGGAGAAGCGTCTGATGTAGCTGTGGAGTAGTTCGGACGGCTTTTGGGTGATGCGGTTGAGATTGTGCTTGGTGCCCGGCCGCCTGCATGTGGCCATGTAGTTGTCGGTGAAGACTCTCTTCAGATCTTCCCAAGATCCGATGGAGTCCGGGGCAAGGCTTGTGAACCAGCTCATGGCCGCTGGCGTGAGTATGACGGGGAGATAATTCGCCATGACGTTGGTGTCTCCTCCGGCGGCACGGACGGCGGTGGCGTAAGCCTACAACCACTGAGTTGGGTTCATCCTTCCTTCATCGGGCTCGACTCCCGGTGATTTTGAAACCACGGGGCCACTGGAGCGTTCGGAGCGCCCTGGTGAATGCTGGGGGCCCTTCTGGGTTGTCAGGGCCGATATCAGCAGTATTGCCGGCGACGATCGGCTCTAGAGCTGAGTCCGGGTTACCGTACTCTTGCTCGTACTCCCGGCGGCGTCGTACTTCATCTTCATGGCGCCTGAAACGACGTTGATCGATACACCGTCGTGCATCCCGAAGGTTACTGAGGTGCACTCGAGCGTCCTGTTCGACCTCTTGGTCATGCTGGCGATGATGCTCGGCGTGGTGTCCTCCCCCCTGGGGAGGTAGTGACTGATCGGCGAAACGGCTTTGACTAGGGCGGCGATTAGATCTAGGATCGGCTGATCGGTGAATCACGCTTGTGGAGCATGAAGGTCTCTGAATCTCTCGAATCTCATTAACTTGACAGTGTGCCGCTTTTAGCATAGCGGCGACCTTGGCGAGCTCGGGCGTCTGCGGGAGGTGTGCAAGTTTGTTGGCGGCCACCGCCAGATTGGCGCTCAGAGTTTTGAAGACGTCGTGGCCGTCAACGCGGAGGAATTCTTCATTGAGGTTGCGATGGAGGGGCCTTCCTTGCGAGTCGAACTGATTATCACGAGCGGCTTCGGCCATCGCAATGGCGCGTTCGTTATCACGGCGTTGCGTGTGGTTGGCGTTCCTGTTTTCACGAGCGGCGCGTTCTTCATCTGTTTCGCCGTTCCGAGGGGGGCTGTCGATGCTGACGTTGAAGATTGCGCCACCCCCGAAAGGCAGGAGAGGGGGTTGCTCGGTGAAGGTCTCGGCGAGGGGCTTCATGGAGCCTTGAGACTCGGAGTCCGGATTTTCCTCTAGGATAGTTTGGAGGAATGTTCCGGGACCCCGGCTGGCGTGCAGCATGTTGACGATTGGTGGGAGCTGATCGGCGACCTGGTCGGCGAATTTGCCCCTCAGGGCGTCCTGATACGTAGCGGCGGCGTTGGCGGGCCCGAGGGGCAGGACGGCGAGCCCCGAGGTTTGCCGAGCACTGAACACCGACAGATCGGGATCGGAAGATGGTCGGTGCTGAACAAGGGTGTCCAGAGCTGACTCAGCAATGGAGAGGCAATCAGCGAGTTTCAGGCCGACCCGATCGATAGACTCGATCAGATCGTCGTTGTTGACATGCCTCCTCCGGTAGCGAGGAAGTGAACGGCGAGTAGCTGACGAAGTCGACCCCGGAAGTGGTTCCAAGATTGGATCTGCAGTCGCAGGTGCGAGGGTGGTCGGCGCGGAGCGGATCTGCACCGGCTCGAGAAGCTCTCCAGCTCCGTCGGCGTTGATGACCCACGTGATGGATCCGACCATGAAGATCTGGCCGGGCTGCGGGAGGGACGAAGAGCCTGTGGAAAAAGCCATCTTGTTCGACAAGGAAACAGCACGCACACCCCTACCTAGCGCGCCAACTGTCGACAGAATATCGTCGGCAGTCCACCGAGGGGTATCCCGCGATGGTAGATTGATCGGCAGAGGAGCGTGTAATCAAGAACAAGAAGGCAACAGAGACACGAGTTATACAGGTTCAGGCCGTCAGTACGACGTAATACCTTACTCCTGTGGTCTGTTGGTTTGTATTAGCTATCATATGATTTGCCATGATTTTGTAGGGGTCCCTGCCCGCCTTATATAGTCCGGAGGGCAGGGTTACAAGTCGGTTAGATATGAGAGATAACCGGAAAATAATAACAGATTACAAGAATCATGTGATCGTACGTATCCTAACAGATCTCGTAACATCTTCAGGATATCCTCCCCATGTCTTGCGGGAGGCGCCGAGCAGAATCGTGCCCCGCAAGGCTTCTTCTCGTGGGCTGGGCCGCCTCTGGAGGCGTAGCCCATGTGGTCTGTCGTGGGTATCCGGGGTCGTACCCCCACAATAAGTTAATCAAATTGGGTTTTATTCAATCCATAAAACCTATTACAAATTGTACATAAAATATATAATTTGTAAAACTCAATAGTATCCCCGTACTACAATACGATCATGTGATCTAATACTATTTTATAAATAAAACTACTATTTGATAAAAAAGCGATACTACTTAGGATCCCGATCCTAACAACCATGTTTGGTCTGGGCTGACAAGATATTATGGGCTGGGCTTAATCTTTCTCTGTTATTTCATATGTTGGAAACTCTGTGAAAACGTATTTTGAGCACTCAATTTGCAAGATTTTCACCAGATATATACCCATATTTTGTAAGTAATTAAAATCAAATAATAGCATGCACTTAGAATTATAGCTATTTGTGTCACTTTTATATATAAATAAGTAAATTGATAAGGGTTCTAGTTGATTAGGCATGTGAATCAAACTCAAAACTAACTGCTCCATACGTTTCAAATACTTTCGAAGCGTCGAACGGAGGGAGCATTTGAGAGGCTACTATTTCCCTATATGTTCTCTCAGATCTATGAAGCAAGAGGTTTTTTTTTTTTGGCATGATAAAACTCTTCGAAAAAAATTCTGAAAATAGAAGCAAGCAGTTGCACATTGGGCTAGGTAACAGAAGAAAACAAGTTCAACTACATGGGTCCATTCCCCGGGTGCAAGTGGAGCCACGAAATGCTCGGCTTTCTGCAGCGTCTAGTGAGCTTGCTCTGTTTCTGTTCTCAAGAAATGCTCTGCTTTCTTGCGAGCACAGATGGCTGAACACTAAAAAAGTACCAATGTGGCAATGTAGACGTAAAACCAAGCAACAAGGAATTAATAATGTTAACGCCAATCATGAGATCAACACAATGGATCCATACTTCAAAGCGAAGGGCTACTCAAGCAAATTCAACAATGCATATCAAAGACACCCAAACATATACTGACGATGACACTGAATATTACTACATTAAATCAGATAAGTTTCTTGCTAACTAGACAGTCACATAAGGACTGATAGTTACCATAGTTACACTCAACAGACCTACTGACGATGACCCTTAATACTACTGCATATAAAGCAGATAAGTTTCTTGCCAACTAGACATAGGTACTGCTAGTTACAGTCAACAAACCTGGAACATGAAACCAATCTACTAAGCAAATAATGACTTCATCCTTCCTTCACAACACATCTCAACAAAAGCTCATCTTACGACAAGGGAGACGCCAGGACCAGGGTCACCTAGTAAAGAAGCGGGAACAGACTCTACCCAACATTACCTTGCTCATTTGCCAGCAGCTCACTCTTTCCATCCCTTCCATGCTATCAGATTCAGTACCTAGTCTCAAGACACAGTCTCTTGCAGCTGCTAATTCTGACTCTGAAGTAACAAGTTCCATCCCATTCATGCTATTGGGTTTAGTGCCTATTCTCAAGACACGGTCCCTTGCAGCTGCTAATCTTGACTCTAAAGTAGCGATTCTGTTCAGAAGAGAGTTCCTCTCATCATCAAGTAAGAAGGAATCTATCTCTGCGAAATTAGAGTTGCCATTATCAATCATTTTTTGTTTGAATGATTGCAACGCGGTGAAAAGGACAGAGGAAGCTTCTTCCGTGCCCCCATGGGACCATCATCTTCAGAAATGTTTCCTCTAACTCCGGTTTTTGAATCCTCCTATGACATAAAGAGGACTCATATAAGTACTGTAAGATTTTGCATAGAAAAAAAAATGACATACGGCAAGGCAATAGATTCTAATGATACAAATCAATTTATTTAGCTTTTACAAAAGCAATGAAACTGAAATAAGATACCCTTGAATACAGCTCTGCCATCTCATTTTGATTAGCATCAAAGCATGCTATTGCATACAGCCATCAATTGAGCTCACCTACTATGAGTTAAAGTTTATTCCTGTTACTTCATCTAAACCTGAAAGCCGATAGCGGCGTTCCACAACAATATGATAACCCAATACTCTCATGTGATGCAAACTGCCTACAATTCTGGGACGAAACATATTTTATCATGTATCAAATACATAAGCACAGGCTCACCTTGCAATGTATCAAAGAAGACGGCCAGCTGACTTTAATGTAGGGATCAACTGGGCAGAATATTCGCTTGCTTTCTTTATGGAGCAAATTCACCTTGGCTGTTTCTAGGCAGAAGGACACGAACAACTGAGGAGCCCGAGGGTCCCCGAAGGGTGCAACAGTTAGAGATAGGTACACAAAGCCATTGATAACCGCCATAGGCCGTATATGAACATCAGCCTCATTGATGACCTCACTGACATTTGCGCGCAATGAGAACGTCTTGTGCGGCATGAATCTCTCGACGCCATCACCGTCGGCTGCCCAGAGCCAAACAGAAAGCATGCATTGCAGTACACTGACGACACAGAACTCCCCATCCTTGGTGTGACCAAGCTGAAGTCTTGAGGATGGCACTTTCAAGGGTGGCGGCAGATCCATCCGAGAGAACTGAAATGTCACAGTGTTGAGCGCGAGGATGCATCCCTTCCCCTTGTGTACCCAACAGACGATGCCATTGACAACCGAGCCAGTGGTGTCATCCAGCGCCCCCCCGGTGTCCATCTCCGGCGGCAAGACGAGCTGCCATTCCATGGTGTGCGACGAGAAGACGGCCACGCGCGCCCACGCCCAGGCGCTCTCCCGGTGGACGCAGACCACGCGGGACGGCCGGGCTGTAGCAGGCGCTTTGGTCGGTGGCTTGGTTGACGAAGTAGGCGTACCCGTCGCTGTAGGGGATCACGGGATCGCTCCGCCACTCGGAGGCATCGAAGTCTTGGAGTAGACCGTCGAAGGCGGCGGCGATGTCGCTGCTCTTGCCTGTACCTGCAGGGACGATGGCACGCATGTAGGGCAGCAGGAAGAGCGCGAGGAGCGGCCGTGCCCGGAGTTCACGGAAACGGCGCCGGAAGGCGGGGGAGGAGCGGACGGCGTGGAGAAATGCGCGGCAGGCGAAAGCCGCACGGGCGAGGCTCGTGAAGGAGGGGAGGCGCAGGAAGATTTCGAGGAGAAGGTCATCGCTGAGCGCAGTAATGGTGGTGGGAGCGGGTGGCGGCGGCGGCGGCGGTGGAGAGTCGGCCATGGCTGTGAGGAGTGAGGAGTGGTGGGGAATGGAACGGACTGACGAAGAGGCAAAAACCTAGCGCTTACGAGCCCGTTCGGCTGGCTGGATGCCAGCGGGCTGGCTGGTTTCCTGAGTCACGAAATCACTGTTCACATCCTGCCAGAACAGTATTTTTCTCTCACAACAATTAGCCGGAACAGTATTTTTCAGTCCTGCCGAACAGGCTATACAGGTCGGCCCACGTAATATGGCCCATGTAGTTCAGGGTCGTACGTTTTTCTCCTTTTTTTTTCATTTTTCCGTGATTTCTTTTTTAATCACATACCACCGGCGGCAGCTACTCGCCCACATCGCAGACCCTGAAATTGTTTTCTAAGAACGTTCTTCCCTCTTTTAAGGTGTGTTTAGAGTATAATCTATATTTGACTATTTTGAAAGAAAAAAAGTCTAATAGCTATTATATTTTATTTTATAAAATAGCAAGTCATTTATCCCAGAATTCTCGCATGACAAATATAGCTTGCATGTGCCGCTAGTCAGAACCTGCCATACTAGAAAGGCTGTTGGAGTTTTATCTTTTTTTACGGGGATTTATATTTTAGAGATTAGCTAAATCATGAATTTAGCCATCTATTTTTACCAACTCTCTTGGAGTTGCTCTTGGATCGATACTAGAGTTTGTCATAGGTCTTTTTGTCTCATCTCGCCTAATTTTAGCTAGCTTTTGGTTTGTTACTGCATGTGCGGCATGCCACTTCCTGCTTAGGCGCCGGTAGTTCAACTTGCATGCCGTAACTCGCCAAAATGATGCGCTGTTTTGGTGCGCCAGACTTTCGGCGTGGCGGGGCTGTGGTAGTAAGCCAAACGTGCCCTTATTATCCTAGCAAGCATGGTTTATTTTCAATAAAAAAATGTTTCACCGCGATAGAAATGTGTTTATTTTGGATAGTGTTTGGTTAAAGAGATGATTCCATTTTTCATAGTATTTCTTAAACAGGTGGGATAGAATCATTCCATCTAGAGAATATTCATGCCATATCCGGGATGAGCTTATCTTGGAACGAGCTTATCTTGGAACAAAGAGCAGATTGAACTATCCGACTTAGATGCCATCTTCGTCATGTCCTTATTTTAGGCTCAAGCTTGCTCTCTTCTTTATACTGACAAAAAAAAAATTAAACTTTTTCGTTAAAATGTATTACGCATTTAGGATTCACCTAGAAAAAGGCTCAACTATTTGTAATCATTTTTAAGTCAAAGATAAGACGCCCATTATGACATTTTTAACTAGCGCAAGCCCTAATTTAAATTATTGTTGGACATGTTTTTTAAAGACATTTTGGTAAAAAAAAATAGCCTGCACTAAGATATTCTATCCATTCATAAATAAATCAACTTCTAGCGTTGTCCTAAGTCAATCTTTTTAAGTTTAACTAGCTTTATAGAAAAGAGCATCAATATTTACCGCAGCAAATAAACATCTATGAAAATATATCTCATGGTATATTAATAATACTATACTAGTTTACGCCATAAATATTTATGCTCTTTTTAATATATTTGGTCAAAATTCAAAAAGTTTGACTTATGAAAAATATAGAAGTCGATTTATTTGAGATTGAGGGAGTAGTGTAAAATAGAATGTTATAAGTATTTTTATCACAATAAATACTCCTACCAAATTTGTGATAGACTAGTAAGGCTTGGCACTACATGTGGCCATTCCCCTAGTTGCCTGCTATAAAAGTGGTCAACACCTTGTGTCACCTACTGTGATTTCTAGCCACACATATTCAATGTTAATAATATAGCCGATTTACTGGCTGTAAAGTTCTTTGTAACTTTCTCTCAGCCGACTCATATAGCAGTTAGTTTTTTTTTATTAATACATGACCCACTTGTCTCTCTCACAGCTGTAAACTTACAATCCGCTTCTTCTCTCTCCTCCACCTCAACATTTAGCCAGTTTAACAACCCATTATTATACTTGCTCTAAATTAGTAGTAACTAATGATTTTTTTTGCATCACAAATTCTAGTTGACAGTTGTCACAGGTTGAAACCGGTCTTTCTGCATAAAATCCTTATGCTCCACCCATCTCCATCTCACATACTACTAGTAGTACACTTACCTCATCAGAACAAAGGAATCCACTTTGAAAATGGCCATGACAGCCGCCACCACGGCCTCTGCCATCTTGCTCTTTGCTCTCTTGTTCGCCGGCGCTCACGCCAAGATCCCGTGCGCGCTCCCTACATGCAAGACGGTGGGCGGCGGGAGCCAGTTCTTCGACGTGCAGTTTTGCCTGGCGGCGCTCGGCTCTGACGGCCGGAGCGTCAGCCACTGCATGGACTAGCAGACGTACTCTGTCATCGCCGCAGACCTCCTCACGGCCAACGTCACCGCCACGGCGCCCAAGATCGACGGCCTGCTCCGGGAGATGTGAAAGGTCCTTATGACTAGAGGAGGTGAATAGTCTATTAAAATTTCTATACAATATTTAGCAAACCGGTTAGATAATTATGAGGTGAAGCAAGTGTTGCGCTAGCCTACTAAAATTGCAAGCCACCTACCACAATTCTAGTTTATATAGTTTCTATCCACACAATAGCTATGTCACCACACTAAGTTAGCACACTCTCAAATGCTAACTAAAGAGCCACACTAACCAAACTAACAAACTCTCACTACTAGCTACACTTAACTCTGGGCGTTTGGGTTACCCGAATAATTCGGGTCGGGTAGTTCGGGTTTTGGGAAATTAGGGTAATGAATAGTATTACCCGATAACAGCCCCGGAAAAACAGTACCCGCAATTTCGGGTTCGGGTTCGCGTATACCCAATATACCCGAAATTATAGAATCACAGAATTTGCATAGAATTTGAACTGGACAGAATAATTGATAACTGATAAGTTCAAATTTTCAACCGCAGATAATCACAAACAGTGAAACACTAAGACAAAGGCATAGTTGCGTAGCCATAGAGTCACATCTCAGACCTGACATACATGATACTTACTTACTTAGGCCTTGTTTAGATACCCTCAAAATTCCAAGTTTTTTCACTCTCTCTCCATCACATCAATTTTTAGTCGTTTGTATGGAGCATTAAATATAGGTAAAAAAAAACTAACTGCACAGTTTAGTTGGAAATCACGAGATGAATCTTTTAAGCTTAGTTGGTCCACGATTGGACAATATTTACCAAATAAGACGAAAGTGCTACTATTCATCGGGTTGAAATTTTTGCAATCTAAACATGGCCTTAGTAGTCTTGTGCACATGCAACATGCAATGCAAGTGCAAACCACGACAGTCACAAAGACACAGTTCAAGGCTTCAAGCCTGCTGTCTGCCAACGCATCACACAAGAACAAAAGTTCAAACAAAATAGTGAAACACATCACCCAACTGACACAAGAGCAAGTGACTGTCGAGTGTCCAGAGTCCAGACTCTAGTCCTCCGTACTCTAGTGGCAGTAATTCAGTCCAGTTGTAGCTTTCAGAGTTCAGAGGCCTGATTGTTGCTGCTTGGTGTTTGTGACTTGGAGGTGCCGACAGAAGTCTGCTCATTCTTTTTCCCTTTGCCGCCATATTCTTCTATCCACTCTGTAAATGCATAGCACAATTACATATTTCATATTGCATACTGTAAATACACAAATGCAAGCAAGTAAGGAAATATGATACATTTTTCTATTATGGCCAATTCCCCCATACTCTCCTTTATGTCAACAGTTGGCCTTCGAAGCCAATCCTGCGTGCATACTAAAGCCTCTAGCATGAATGGAGTAAGAGAGGTACAGAAGTCATCCAAGATACGTCCACCTGTGCTAAAAGCAGACTCTAACGCTGCTGTTGTGATGGGTATAGCAAGCACATCACGAGCCATGTGACTCAAAACTAGAAACCTATTTGAATTGACTTTCCATCAACCAAGAATGTCCATTTTCTTTTCTGTGTCTTCAGTTTTTTCAGCAAGATATTTCTCTAGTTCAGATTTATTGGTGCTGGTAGAACAATTGTTCAGTTTCATCCTCTTGGCGATTTTTTCTTTAAGCATTCCTCCTACACCTCCCTTAGATTGATCAGCATCAATTACTTGAGTTATTTCTTCACTTGGAGCATACATGTTTCTGTATTCTTCAAACAGCTCTCTCACACAAGTATTAATTGCTGCCCAAACCAATTGACATCTTTCCTCACCAAATATCTCTTCAACACTAATCTTTGTGTACAAAGATAACTTGTACCTTGGATCAAGGAATGCAGCCACAAATATGAATAAATTGATGTTCTCCTTGTCCTTCTTCTCCTTCTCCCTGCCCTTGCTCCGCCCTTTATCCCTATCTTGCTCTTGTTGCTGCCTGTCATTGTCCTTGCTGTTGGTGTGCCAAAGTTCCCAGCATTTATCAAATTTATCTTTCATTCTCATCCCCATTGATACTTGCAAATTATCTTCACTGTTCAGCCATTCTTGAATCAACAAATGGACTTCTCCAATCTCATGAAAGAAAGTGTTGCAAGTGACTTGGAGAGAAGAAGAGATACAAATAGTAAGGTCATGGAAATGCTGTAGAAATTGTGCCATCTTCTTTGCATTGTCCCAATCATCTTCATCAGGATGCCCAAAACCATCCCTTGCTTCAGACAGATCAATAACATAATTGGTATCATCTTCATCTAACTTTAAGAACACTTTCTCATACACAATTGCAGCCTTCAACATCAAATATGTGTAATTCCACCTTGTCGGAACATCAAGTTTCAAAAAAGCTTTGCTGTCCACTTTCTCTTCCTCAGCAATTTCTTTAAACTTGACTAATCTTGAAGTCCCATTTTTTATATATCTAATAGCAGCCCTAACACGCTTAATAGAGAGATCCACTTCTTGTAATCCATCTCTTACAATAAGATTCATAATGTGGGCTGCACACCTCATATGCAAAAACTTGCCCTTGGCAATGTTGGTTTTCTGCAGCTGCCTCCTCAAGTAATCAACACCACTGTCATTGGTACTTGCATTATCCACTGTTACAGTCATTACTCTATCCAAACCCCAATCAGCTAAGCATCTTGTCAAGTTCTTCCCAATATCCTCCCCCTTGTGACCCTTTACCATAAAAAAACTTATCACTTTCTTATGCAGATTCCAGTTTTCATCAATGAAAATTGTTGTAACAGTCATATATCCATCTTGAACCTGAGAAGTCCAACAATCTGTTGTGAGGCACACTCTCTGACAAGAATCTTTGAAGAACTTCTTCAGTTTGGCTTTCTCTTCAAAGTAATGACGTACAATGTTCCTTGTGCAAGTTCTTCTAGACGGAAATTGGAATCGAGGACATGCTTTGGACATAAATTTCCTAAAGCCAGGCTTCTCACCAAAACAAAAGGGTTGCTCATCTTCTATTACCATCTCAGCAAAGGCTTCTCTAAGTGCTTCTTGATCAAACCTCCAAGTGGTAGGGGCTTCCCCCCGACATGCTTGCAAGGTGCCTTGCTTTGAGTCCTTGTTGAAAACATGAGGATTGCGTTTGCATGTACCAAAGTGTTTCTTCAATGCAGATGTTCCATGTCCCCTTGTGTCAGCCTTGATGTCACGGTGGCAATATTTGCACCTTCGAGCCTTCAAAAGTCCTTTGTCGTCCTTGATCTTGATAAAATGTTGCCACATCTCAGACCTTGGTGCCAACTCCTTTCTCTGAGTTTTTTCAGTTTCCTTCTCATCCACATCAATGACCACTTTTTTAGTTCCTTCGGTTTTGCCTTGCTCCTGAGTCTCAAGTGATGGTTGTTCAACTACTGACATTGGCACCATTACCATTGCCTGAGTCTCCTGACTATCAAATTGAGTGCCAGTGCCCACTGAATCCATATTATCCTCTGGTTCTGGCATCTACAAGAATAAAAAGAGCACTATAATCAGTCACTAAGACAATAAGTCAAACTAAATCACATATCATATCAACAGATCATAACAACACATCATAAATCATAGATCATATCAACAGATCATAACAAATCAACTAAATCATGTGCCTCACTGCCTCTGTTAACCATAAATCACAGATCATATCAAAAATCACCATATTATCAGCATCACCATACTATCAAAAATCACAGATCATATCAAATAGACAAATAACAGATCCACTCATCTACACTACATCACTACACTACATAATACATACATTGCAATTTGCAAAGACAGAGCCACAGCCCACAGATTCAAAAAAACTAAGGGGAATAGGGCCATAGGGGTTAGGGAATACATACATTGCACGAGGATTCTGATGTGGCAGCCGTCCTTCAATCTTCAAGTAGCCGGGCGTCGGTGTACCTCTCCAGTGTCCAGTCTCTGATGAGGTTGACGCGTGGGGACGCGAGGTGTCGTGTGTCGGAGTGAGGTGCAGAGGTGGGCGACGGAGTAAGGGCGGCGTCGATGAGCCGATGACTTCGCTTCGCGTCACGTCGTCGCCACACGCGCCCCTTCGGTACCGCTCCGAGAAGGCGAGAACTGGAGTCTGGAGGGTTGGCGGCTAGGTTTTGGAGGATACTAGGAGTGAGGTGAGGAAATGAGGTTGCGTTGTTGCCTGTTGGGCCGCGGGGGATGTTTGGCCTATTGGGCTCTGACTCAAATTGCGGATAGTTCAGGTACCGGGTGTAGTTACCCGAATTACCCAAATTAAAATCGGGTAATAGGAATCACTATCCGAACTAAACATCGGGCACTACGGGTTCAGGTTTTTCGAGTCCGGGTATTTCGGGTTTGGGTAACGGGTAGCGGGTAATTTGCCTAGAGTTAGCTACACTAAAGAGCTTGACAACTAGTTTGCGGTATTGTAAAGAGAGTGAGAAAGATGGTTATACCGCCGTGTCGAGGAGTGAACCAATCAATCACAAGGATGAATACCAATGAAGACCAATCACCTTGGAATCAAATGATGACACAATAATTTTTTACCGAGGTTCACTTGCTTGCCGGTAAGCTAGTCCTCGTTCTGGCGATTCACTCTCTTGGAGGTTCACGCGCTAATTGGCATCACACGCCAAACCCTTAATAGGGTGCCGCACAACCAACACAAGATGAGGATCACACAAGCCATGAGCAATTCACTAGAGTACCTTTTGGCTCTCTGACGGGGAAAGGTCAAGAACCCCTCACAATCACCACGATCGGAGCCAGAGACAATCACCAACCTCCGCTCGATGATCCTTGCTGCTCCAAGCCATCTAGGTGGCGGCAACCACCAAGAGTAACAAGAGAATCCCACAGCAAAACACAAACACCAAGTGCCTCTAGATGCAAACACTCAAGCAATGCACTTGGATTCTCTCTCAATCTCACAAAGATGTTGAATCTATGATGGAGATGAGTGAGAGGGCTTTGACTAAGCTCACAAGGTTGCTATGTCAATGCAAATGGCCAAGAGAATGAGCTTGAGCCGGCCATGGGGCTTAAATAGAAGTCCTCACGAAATAGAGCCATTGTAGCCCTTCACTAGGCACTGCTCGGGGTGATCGGACGCTCCGGTCATATTGACCGGACGCAGGACCCCAGCGTCCGGTCGCCCGATGCTTGCCACATGTCATCGGCTTCAAACACTGATCGTCCGATCTCAATGGTCATCAGTACATTTAAGTAGTGACCGGTCGTGCTGCTCAAAGTGGTCGGACGCACCAACACCAGCGTCCACTCATTTCCAGTAAGGTTCCAGAGGCAAAAAATCACGACCGGACGCGTCCGGTCATGCTCGACCGGACTCACCCAGCTTCTGGTCACTCAACGTCTCCTCTGTGCACTGCCACGTCAGTGGGACCGGACGCACCCCACCAGCGTTCGGTCACGAAGTGACCCAGCGTCCGGTCGAAGACCGACGCCAACATCTTCACTGCTTCCACTGACCGGACACGCTAGTCCAGTTGAGGCCAGCGTTCGGTCCACTCTGTGAAACCCTGTCTTTTCTGTATAGGGCGCCGGTGGCACCGTCAAACTGTCCGTACTCTACGGGCGGACACTCCGCCGGTGAAGTTCCTAACCCTTGCTCAAATGTGCCAACCACCAAGGGTATCACCTTGTGTACATGTGTTAGCATATTTTCACAAACATTTTCAAGGATGTTAGCACTCCACTAGATCCTAAATGCATATGCAATGAGTTAGAGCATCTAGTGGCACTTTGATAACTGCATTTCGATATGAGTTTCACCCCTCTTAATAGTACGGCTATCGATCCTAAATGTGATCACACTCACTAAGTGTCTCGGTCACCAAAATAAAATGGCTCCTACCATTTATACCTTTACCTTGAGTCTTTTGTTTTTCTCTTTCTTCTTTTCAAGTCCAAGCACTTGATCATCACCATGGCATCACCATCATCATGTCATGATCTTCATTTGCTTCACCACTTGGAATGTGCTACCTATCTCATGATCACTTGATAAACTAGGTTAGCACTTAGGGTTTCATCAATTCACCAAAACCAAATTAGAGCTTTGAAGATGTCAAGCCCACAACGATGACTACCTAAAGGAGGCGTACTCGCTAGAAGGCATTATCTATCTATGATTACGTATTCAATCATTTATGTAATGCAACATCTATGACGTGTGGGCCCTGAGGGCAGAACCCGGTATATAATAAGTCACCACTGTGAGACTCTAGGATATATCGCATTTCAGATAATACAGAACTTGGTAAGAGGAATCTTTCCTCTATCATTCTAATCTCGTGTTCCTCACATCGATGGTGCTCACCGATGGCAACTGGGTGTGACAAGTGGTATCAGAGACGGTTCTTCCTCGGCATGGGTGACGAGCTCCACTGGCTCTTCTCCAACTCCAGTTATCGGCGGCGGCGGCGGTGGCTTTCCAAGTCAGCGCGGTCACCAAACCCTCATCAACAACCCAGGTTAGGCAGCTTTTGCCTCGTAGCGCTTCCCGTATCCATCTAGCTTCGATCGTGGTTTGTAATTCTAGGTGGCTGGTTGATCTCTGCCCTCGCCCTCGTGGTGTTCGATCGGAGGTCCCATAGGTCCACTCTTTGGTGGAACTGGGGCAGCTGCGGTGTCGGCGTTGCCTACCTCAGACTCCACCCCACCAACTCTGATCCACCACCACCATCCCTACTCAGATCCACCACCACCAGCCCCAATCCACCACTACCACCACTCAGATCCGATCGGTCTTCGGCACATCACTCGACTGGGGGAATACATCAGCAACTCATTGGTTCAGGAGGTGAGAACCTGGTGAGCAGCCATCATCCTGCTCCCTACCTCTCATTAGCAAGCAGTCAGTCGAGGCGAGGGTTTTGGAACATCGTTTCCATGTAAAATTTCGTAGTCTCGTGAAGCTGATTGTTGTGTGGTGGCGAAGGCGAAGAAGTGTCCACACACTTGGGTTGCAGAGCAGGTCTCTGTGTAAAATTCCTTGGTGGTGCCTCACTTCTGGGCGTAGTCGGCGAGTTCAGGTGTAACATACTAAGGGGGAGGTCTTCCAAACCCGTTGCTGCACCCAATTCTTTGGTTTTTTTGTCTGTACCTCGGTATCAGCCACAACGGCTCCCAAGAAACCATCCGTGCAGACCCAATTCATCTTGGAAGCCAAGTCCAAGAACAGTGAAGAGGACAATACAAGGTGGGATCAGGTAATGGGAAACTTTGACCTGCGGTTCGCCCAAATCAATGATTTGGGCCTAATTCAGCATGAACTTAAGACTGAGGTCACGACAGCTAAGGTAGAACAGAATAAAATTACGAAGCAAGTTCAAGCCAATGGTCAGGCAGTGGCTAGTCTGATGATTAGACAAATGGAAAAGGAAAAAATGGATGATAGTTCAGATAATGCCTCAGTAGTCTCAGCCGAAGAAACAGTGTTTGATAATGTGTTTGCTGGCACGACTCATGACCATAAGCCAGGCACATCCAAGAGGCCCCATGGCCATTCCAACAAAGATCAGTTATCCCACCATTCAATTCCCAAAATGCAATTTCCCATGTTTGATGGAACAAGCCCCAAAATTTGGATTGACAACTACTGCAACTATTTTACCATATACAACATTACAGAGTCATTAAAGGTCACAGCTGCTATGATGCATCTTGAGGGGAATGTAGCCAAGTGGTGGCAAGCATACAAGCAAAACCATTCTGTACCTACATGGAAGCCTTTATGTTCCATTATACTGGAGAAGTTTGGTGCTGATGATTTTAGGCAGGCACTCAATGACCTGCTAACCCTCAAGCGATCTGGAACTATGGAGGAGTACACTGCTGCTTTTCAGTCTCTACAATTTGATGTTACAATGCATAATTGCCACTATGATGAACTCTTCTTTGCAACCAAGTATGTGGATGGCTTGAAAGAGATTAGAGCTACTATGGAACCTCATGTACCAGTAATAGAAGATAGAGCTACCTTGATTGCCAAAATCCAGCAGATAACAATTAAAAGGAACAAGACCAAAGCCACAAGACCACCACCTACAAATAGATATCAGCCACAGAAGCATGACAACCAAACTTCTCAAAACCTCACAAGACTCAGGCAATTGAGAGATTATCGAAGAGCAAACAATCTCTGCTACTTCTGTGGGGAGAAGTATGAACCTGGTCATCAGGATGTATGCTCCAAACGTGCTAAACCACAACTGAATGCCATTGTGGTAAATCCATTAGACAAGGAGGAGATCAGTGAGCAAGTTCTCAATACACTAGCCATGGAAGATGCTTTAGCTAAGAACTTTTGTCAGCTATCCCTCAATGCCCTCTCAAGTGCTGACAATGATAACAGTATCAAACTGAGAACTCTGGTGAAGAACAAAGTGATGCTGGTACTTCTAGATTTAGGAAGCTCACACAACTTTATTAGTTCAAGCTTTATGGCCATGGCAAATTTACCAACAATACCAGTCACTCCTAGAACTGTGAAGCTGGCCAATGGGCAACAGTTAACTACACAAGCTAAGGTACTTAATCTACAATGGTATATTCAAGGTCATACCCTACATAGTGACATGTTTGTCATAGATATGGGTCCTTATGATGCTATCCTTGGCTTTGATTGGCTCAAATTACATAGCCCCATGCAGTGTGATTGGAGCAACAAAACCCTCACCTTTACACATGCTGACAATACAGTCACCATCCAAGGCCATCAAACCCCACCTCTACAAGCCACACCCATTTCCCCTACCCAACTGTATAAGGCTACCAAAGGCAATGACACTTGGGCCTTTGTCATGCTTGAGCAAACCTCTGCAACTCACCATGAACCTA